GCCCCAGCAGTGACCAATTTACTGTTTGAGGTCTTTGCCACACTCTCCCACAGTAACTGAGAAAAGTTAAGAAAACCCACAGTAAGTTCAGTAACTTAGAAAACCCACAGTAAATTAGTTAAAATTACTGATGTTTTTATCAAATCAGATTGGCAGTGACTTTTTTTAATTTAATTATAATAATTAAAAATTATTAAATAAATTGTAAATCAGGTTATTTGACAGCACTGAGCACACATGATTGGCACGCGTTAAACCACCAGTAAGTACTTCGTACTACTTCCTAAAGTCGTGCCCGTTGACAAGCCACGATTTTAGGAAACGTACGGGCCACTACAGGAGCGCCCAAATTCATCCGACTAGAAACGATTCTACTCGATTTGTTTCCGCGACCGATAGCTGGGCCAGGTACTGGTGGTTTAACATAACGTGTTCTTTATTTAAAAAAAAAAAAAAAGAAAAAAAAAAGAAAAGAACACATCCTCAGAGGATTTCCGATGACCTACCATGGGGTTGTGACCACCTCACACAATTGACTCCGCGTGTATGACCCTCGAGGAAAGCGATGTCCTTCTTTGGAATATAGTTCGACCGCGGAGCGGCCCCATTGTCTCGCTGTGCCAAAACATGTTTGATCCTTCCAGGGAGTGAATCCGCCGCAAAATGAGATTCTGTAACTTCCACACATGCCAGACCAGATACAGAAAATATTACAGATGTGTTTTTCGAAGAAGCCAACACCAAATTGAATGACAAACCCAAGCCGCAATACCCCCCCTCTCCTCCTCCCACAATGCTGCTCTCCTCCCCCCACAATGCTGCTCTCCTACCCCCCCTCTTTTGCAACTCCCCTCCCCCCCTTCTGCGTAAAAACTTCACAGATCAAAAATGAATCCAAAGCATTAATGTCAAATACCTTCCTCCCTGGAAAAAAACAACGCCCGGTCATTGTATCTGTAACTGGCCCGAAAGTTGCACTAAGCACAGCGAAAATGACAGGCTGGGTATGTATTCTGGTTGGTCACTTCGGTGACTAAGGTAGGGTGGGCAATAAATATTAATTTATTAAATAAATAGGCCACTGCAATGACCGGCATAACACAGACTGAAAACACTGCTGATTTCTGGAGTTCTGCTGATGGAATGGATGCCTTGCTGAGATTCCCGCATTCTGCTGAGTTTTCTAAGTCTGTGTGTGTGCGTGCTTGTGACTTGCGGGCCTGTCAGAGTGCTTGTCGGTACGAGTGTGTGTGTGTGTGACCCGCAAGGGTACTTGCTTGTTTGGCAGGCCCGTAGGACCGGTACTTACCTGTGGCCGTGGCATTGAGTGTTGCAGCAGGGAAAACACTCAAATAGCAGAGCCAGAGGCCCGGGGTGCTTAAAGCAGCAGAAAAACACTCGAGTAGCAGGTAGGCTGGTACCGCACCCAGTAGCAGTAGATGTGCCGGGTACTCGAGGCTGAGCAGAAGAAGACAAAGTTGGCATTTTTAGAGGCCCAGTAGCGGTAGGCTAGGTCTAGGCCGGTACCAGTCCATCCAGTCTGAGTCTAAAGCCTGTACGGGCAATATCAGAGTCTGCAATGATGTTTCCCTCCGAAAGGGAGGAGGTACCGGTTACTTGGGAGGCCGAGCGGCCTGGAAGTCACCGCCCAGGAGGCAAGCAGGCCGCTATATCAAGAGGCCGAGGGAAGAGCCCGGGTCGTTCTTCAGTGTGCAAGTTTGGCGACACGCTGCTGGAGCGCTGGCAGGAGTAGCGCTGGGTACTACAGCGCTGCTGGGAGAAAGAAGTCGGGAGCTTCCACCTTGGCTATGGTGGAGCTCTACCGGTAGGAGGAGGAGGSAGAAGGGGACCAAGGAGGAGAGTGGCGAGGTACCTACCTGGCTATGGTGGACACCATCTTCATCACCTTGTTAGGCGCTGCATCTGGAAGGCCCCAGTTGGGGTAGTGCCACGTCAAGGAAGCTCGGGACAGAGTCAGTCATCGCGGTTGACTGCGCAGCGGCATAGCTGCATGGTGTAACTGGTGTTGACCTTGGGACAGAAGGGCGGCGACATAGCTGCTTTGGGGTGTCCTTTGGACAGGAAGGTAGAGCCCTCAGCGCTCCACCATAGCCTCGGCCTGTATGTAGAGGAAGAGGAAGGGTGGCCATGGCTATGGTCGACCTCATGTTCTGCCTGCAGTAGAAGTGGGATTCGGACATTGATTCTGGTTCAGCCATTCAACATTATTATTGTTATTTCTTGTTTGAATAAGGGGGGAGAAGATAAGGAGGAGGAGATCGGTTGGCGAAGAAGAAGAGCCTTGTCATTGGTCTATGCTGGAGTACATCATCTTCTTCTTCTTTCATACTTCTTCTTCTTCTTCTTCTTTCCCTCTCTCCCCTCTCAAGTTCATTCATTTCTTTTCGCAATTGGACGGCATTGTACTTTCTGATGAATGTACACTTCGAAATTGGCCAGGATCGTAACACCACATGAGTTTTGAAATCCTGAAAACAAATGTCGCTTTCCTATTTCTTTTATTTCAGAAGACCCAAGCTGAGTTAGTACATCCATGACCTGTTGAAATACAGACCCAAGCTTCCGTCCAGATACAATCGAGTGAACAGAATAGAATAACTCTGAATTCCCTGGGCTGAGTCCGTTCAATGATGATATCTCAAAAAGCCGTCACGCTTTTATCTTTGACAAAAAAAAAAAAAAGTGGATTTGTTTCATCGCTACGCCGGACGGTATCCGGACTTCTGGACATGCATGGTTCCGAACGGTCCGGACGGGTAAGCAGGTTCCGGAAATGTCTGGACCATTAAAAAAAAAAAAAAATCTGAAAAGAAAAATGTCATGCAGAATAACAATGCAAACCACTTTTGCCTCAGACTCATGTCAGAATTCCTAACCAAACTTGAGTTAAAAGTCAAAAACTATAAGAACTTAAAAAAAGACTTAAAAAACTTTAAAAAAAGTAACATGCAATAACCCATGCAGTATGCCTCGTTGAATGTCTAAGGGCCTTGCCAGGCCACCACTTGCTCTCATGCCAAAAGGGGAAAAGACCCTTACGTGGATCCAGGGCCTGAGAGGGCGACAGTTGACTAAAAGTCAACCGCCGGACACTCAACAGTCAAAGTCAAACGTGGACCCAGCCCAGGCCGCCGGTCAGACGCACACACTGTTTGTATGCAGGTACCCAGACAGTATCAGGACCAAGTGGAAGTCTGCAACTGTACACAATCCAGGCCCGCCCTCGGCTGTGAGTCAATCTGCATGACTGTGGGTGGGAGACCTGAGGCCAGACTGCCTCGTCAAACACTACATAAGGCTTGGTCCCCAGGAGGCCAACATTCAGTCTTGCTATGCTGCCTTGACGCTGGCTGGACGCTGGCCCGACCCTGGCTGGATGCTGGCCCGACGCTAGCTGTGCGCTGGCACTGTGGACGACGACACGGGACTGTGGCGGCATGCTGGCGCCTTCTTTTCTGAGCAGCGGCCTTGCTGATGTGGCGCATGCCACCTGTGCAGTAACCCTGTTCAGAAGTAGCCTGGGGCCCAGAACTCGGCCCCAGGCAACGCAGACCTGAGTCGGTCTGCATTGGGCTGTGTGATCAAGACACGCCCAGGCCTGAGTCTGCTGCGTTCGGCTGTGTGACGAAACGCTGCACACTGGAAATTCAAGGGTCAAAGTCAACTGTAGAGTCAAAGGTACCGCGCCCAGGCCCTTGGTTGGATACACTCACTTGTTGTGCGCAGGTACCCAGACAGCATCCAGGCCGGAGAGAATTCGGTTTCAGACCAATCTGGGCCTTCGTTTGCATTGAGATCTGGACAGCTGAGGGATGCAGCATCCGGGGTCCAGACCCCGCGTCAACGCTACATAAGCGCTGACTTCCTGGCTTTGACATTCATTCTGTCTTGCGCTGATGCTGACTTCACGCGTTGACTTCAACGCTGGCTCGACGCTGCGACGCTGGCATTGTGATTCAGCGAGGCGCTGCTGGTCCGGCATGGTGGCTGGCTTGCACCTATCTTCTTGGCATGCTGATGTGGCAGCTGCCATGCGCTGTCGCTGATGTGGCTGCTGCCACGTGTATCATTCGCTGACGTGGCTGCTGCCACGTGGACTACTGATTGACAAGGCGGAGCTATGTGACTTGCGTTGCTGTTCTGATTATCGTCATTCCGGAGGGGATCGGGACTGTGGAGAGATCGTGCTGTCTACACGGGGTGATTGTCGCGACAAGGAGGGAGATCGGGATCTGTGGATGATTGGGGAATGGGATACTTACCTGAGGTTGACGTCGACATTGTGCGCTGCTGATTGTCTCCATTGTCTTCACGAGAGAACAGTGCCATGTGGCACTTCTATGTGATCAGGACTTGTCAGACTCATTACCAGATACTGTTTGATGACGTGGAGGCGAGGGAAAGCCCGGAGAAGAAGTGGGTGATGTTGGCCTACTCTCCTGGTGGTCATTGATTATCTCTTCCACCCTCTTGCTGTCTATTTCCGCTCACTCTCTTCGTCTACTGTAACGAGACAATGTATCAGAGGTCACATTCATGATTATTGGAGGAGACATTGTCCAGATCTGAGTTGTCTTGCATTTCGACGTCTGATGAGTATCTTCCAGTCTGGGTTCATTACAAACGAATTATTAATATTCGTTACTTGGGTATTAGTAATGAATTATTATAGAGATAGACCATGTCCTGACCCCCCCAAAAAACAAAAACGGGCCTGAAACCCCCCCAAAACCCCAGAACAATTTTGGGGGCTTCGCTCCTCAGTGGGGAAGGGTCCTGGACAGTTTTTTTTTTTTTTTTTTTTTTTTTTTTGGGAAGACCAGCCCTGTCTCTTATACACATCTAGATGTGTATAAGAGACAGCCCCAGCAGTGACCAATTTACTGTTTGAGGTCTTTGCCACACTCTCCCACAGTAACTGAGAAAAGTTAAGAAAACCCACAGTAAGTTCAGTAACTTAGAAAACCCACAGTAAATTAGTTAAAATTACTGATGTTTTTATCAAATCAGATTGGCAGTGACTTTTTTTAATTTAATTATAATAATTAAAAATTATTAAATAAATTGTAAATCAGGTTATTTGACAGCACTGAGCACACATGATTGGCACGCGTTAAACCACCAGTAAGTACTTCGTACTACTTCCTAAAGTCGTGCCCGTTGACAAGCCACGATTTTAGGAAACGTACGGGCCACTACAGGAGCGCCCAAATTCATCCGACTAGAAACGATTCTACTCGATTTGTTTCCGCGACCGATAGCTGGGCCAGGTACTGGTGGTTTAACATAACGTGTTCTTTATTTAAAAAAAAAAAAAAAGAAAAAAAAAAGAAAAGAACACATCCTCAGAGGATTTCCGATGACCTACCATGGGGTTGTGACCACCTCACACAATTGACTCCGCGTGTATGACCCTCGAGGAAAGCGATGTCCTTCTTTGGAATATAGTTCGACCGCGGAGCGGCCCCATTGTCTCGCTGTGCCAAAACATGTTTGATCCTTCCAGGGAGTGAATCCGCCGCAAAATGAGATTCTGTAACTTCCACACATGCCAGACCAGATACAGAAAATATTACAGATGTGTTTTTCGAAGAAGCCAACACCAAATTGAATGACAAACCCAAGCCGCAATACCCCCCCTCTCCTCCTCCCACAATGCTGCTCTCCTCCCCCCACAATGCTGCTCTCCTACCCCCCCTCTTTTGCAACTCCCCTCCCCCCCTTCTGCGTAAAAACTTCACAGATCAAAAATGAATCCAAAGCATTAATGTCAAATACCTTCCTCCCTGGAAAAAAACAACGCCCGGTCATTGTATCTGTAACTGGCCCGAAAGTTGCACTAAGCACAGCGAAAATGACAGGCTGGGTATGTATTCTGGTTGGTCACTTCGGTGACTAAGGTAGGGTGGGCAATAAATATTAATTTATTAAATAAATAGGCCACTGCAATGACCGGCATAACACAGACTGAAAACACTGCTGATTTCTGGAGTTCTGCTGATGGAATGGATGCCTTGCTGAGATTCCCGCATTCTGCTGAGTTTTCTAAGTCTGTGTGTGTGCGTGCTTGTGACTTGCGGGCCTGTCAGAGTGCTTGTCGGTACGAGTGTGTGTGTGTGTGACCCGCAAGGGTACTTGCTTGTTTGGCAGGCCCGTAGGACCGGTACTTACCTGTGGCCGTGGCATTGAGTGTTGCAGCAGGGAAAACACTCAAATAGCAGAGCCAGAGGCCCGGGGTGCTTAAAGCAGCAGAAAAACACTCGAGTAGCAGGTAGGCTGGTACCNGTTTTTTTTTTTTTTTTTTTTTTTTTTTTGGGAAGATCCAGACCTTCCAGACCGAACATCTGGAGCCCGGACTGAATCCAGACCGTCTGGACGGCGGTCTGGATGTCTGAATCGTAGCCATGATTTGTTAAAAAAAAAAAAGTAGAAACAACTGCAGTTGTGTGACTCGTGTCAAGTTTCAAGTTCCAAAAGACAACAACAACAACAACAACAAAAATAAAATAAATAAATAAATAAATAAATAAATAAATAATAAAAAACACAATAAATTGCAGTTTGGTGATGGCGTGACTTGTTCAAAACTCGATTTTGGACTGAGACATAATTGCCCCTTAAAAGTTATACGTGTGTACAAAAATTAGGCCCCCACGAGGCAGGCACATTGAAATCCTAAAACTAGCTGCATTAGTGAACCTGTCCTTCCTGACATCCATTAAACCGCCGATACCTCCAGGGGGTCTTAGGCCCCCTCTGCCCCCCCGCCCTGACGCAAATGCATATGGACCCGCACGGCGCACCAATTCATCCGCCGCGTTAGTGGCCTCAAAACGTGGAGGTACTGGTGGTTTAAGATTGATATTTCCAGAATGGCCCATGCATGGGGATGACACACATCGTTCGACAGATGTTTACAAATCAAACAGCAAAAGAAAAGGGGGTGAGGAGAGCGGCATTGGTCCGACATTACAAAGAAGAGTACCATGGCCCGTGCATGAGGATAAACACGCATCGTTCGACAGATGTTCCCAAATTAAACAGCAAACAAAGTAAACAGTTAAAATGCATCAAGGCATCTGCAAGGCGACCCACATTGTGCACCCAGCCGATGTGCACGTCCAGGTGCATTCTGACAGGTAGAATTTTGAACCTTTAAACGTTGCGCAAAACCAGAAAAGCCTTCAGGATCTCGCACTGAACCAAATCGACCCACGAAATGTATTAATTAAATTTAATTTACTATTAAACCATACACCCCTATTACCAATATTCCAAATTGGCAACAGGCCACCCAAAGATAAAGTGTACATAACATATTGGCATGCTTCCCTTGAACTGCCAGTACACGGCCCCCCCCAGCCTCGTGGAAAAAGCAACCTGTCGGCACCACACTGTAGCACCGCAACTTTTTGGGTCCGAGCCACCATTCATAACATTCATCAATGGCGTCAGTTTCGCTTCAGGCCTCCGAAAGTCGCAGTGATTGGCCCGCGGGCTATGTATGGCGATGTACTGGTGGTTTAAGCCACCAGCACACGGCCCCCCCCCCAGCCTTGCAAAAAATCACAAATTGCCTATTCCTAGTATTCCAAACTTTTCTACTCATTAATTGCAAATTAAAATCATACATACTGCCATACTCCCGTTAAACCGCAAGTACACGGCCACCCCCAGCCAGCCTTGCAGAAAATGGCGAGTTGCCAGCTCCGAGCATTTTGAGGCTCGGGGGTACCGGACTACGAAGGCCAGCGGCACCAGCCAAAAAATAAAAAAATGTGACACTGGCGGTTCCGAACTAAAAAGTGTGGCTTTCTTCTCCAGGCCAAGGCGTAGTGGTGGTTCAAAAATAAAATGAGCAAAAAAAACATGGAAGAATATTCTAGATTATAGCCTGCATCTAGCTCAGCTTCCCCTTCTGATTATATCAAAAGGGGATCAAGATCCGCGGCTTATTTGAAGTCATTTCTGTGTTTTCCAACTTTTCCCATTATATCCTAGGCTTCATTTCTGTGCGCAACGGCCTCCCCCTCGACACGCACGGATGCCTGCACCGCCGCATGGGTCTCCCGGGCAGGCCACGTCCGGCCCTGGCGCGCGGGCTTTGGGGGAGAATTTCGGGGACGCCAGGGGCGGTTTCAGCTTCCACCTCACTCCCGCCACCTCCCACATCCCTTCCGCCATCTCCAACCTCCCTCCTGCCACCTCCTCCCTCCCTCCCACCATCTCCCACCTCCCTCCTGCCACCTCCCACCTCCATCTCGCCACCTCCCTCTCGCCACCTCCCACCTCCCTTCCACCATCTCCCACCTTCCTCTCTCCATCTTCCACATCACTCCCCCCATCCCCCACCTCACTCCCACCACCTCCTACCTCCCTTTTGCCATCTCCAACCTCACTCCCGCCACCTCCCACCTCCCTTCCGCCATTCCCCACCTCCCTCCCGCCGCCTCCCAAATCCCTCCCGCCATCTTCCACGCCACTCCCGCCACCTCCCAACTCACTCCTGCCACCTCCCACCTCCCTTTCGCCATCTCCAACCTCACTCCCACCACCTCCCACCTCCCTTTTGCCATCTCCAACCTCCCTCCCACCACCTCCTAACTTCCCTTCCGCCACCTCCTACCTCCCTTCCAGAGAGCGCAAATGGGTAACCGTTACCCGTACCCGACCGCACCCAACTGTAACCGCCAGGTCATGGGTAGGTCTGGGTGCCCCTTTCCAAAGGGGAGGTTGGTTATGGGCAGGCAAATTTGTTTTTTCTGGAGATGACGGGTAGGCACACTTAGTATTTATGAAGATCACGGGCAGGTAGGGCCAGCCAAACATAAAACTAAAACCGGTACGGACAGGTACGGGGGGCAGACAAAAAAAATGGGGGGCGGGTACGGG